AAAAACCAGAGGGTGTGTGTCCAGGCAGAGACAATATGAATAAAGACAACTGGGTGTTTAGCCTCATGGTTAGGACACTTGTTAAAAGATGCCTGGAGATTCCCAGATTCCCAGCTCTGGATCTTGACTCCAATTTCCTGCTAGGGTAGACGCTGGAGGCAGGGGTACTGACTCAAATAAGTGGGTTCTTTCCACCCAAATGGGAGACTTGGATTTTCTTGGCTTTCATTTCTGTCTATTGTGGCTATTTGAGTAGTTACTTGGTGAAAGGGATTCTGTTCCTTCGTGTTTCTCTGCCTCACAAATAAATAATACAAGCACAGACTGTGGACAGAACAACTTTGATGCTCTAAAGTAAATAAGAAAATCAGATGTGGCTAAAGCAAATGATCCAGAGGGAGTGGCCTGTGGCAGAGCTGATGACATGATCAGAGGTCAGATTATAGGGTCTTTTAGGCCACATTAGTGGGTTGTGATATTATAGCAAAGGGAAACTGAAGTATTTAAGCAAGAAAGTGGGTGCTTTAGAATTTTAGGAATTCACTTTGGCTTCTGTGTGGAAAACTGGTGAGACAGAAGTAGCAAAGGGAGACCAAGTAAAGTTTATTAAACAGCCCAGATGATATGTGGCCTCTTGGAATATGATGGCAAATGTGCAGAAGAAGATAGAAAGAAGATCAGCTGGAGAAATATTTGACAGGTCAAATGGATAAGACTTAGTGATTGATGGATGAGATGCTGGGGATAAAGAGGAATCAAGGGTTATTTCCCAAAGTTCTAAAGTGAACAATGGGGCAGTTAGATATTTATCTATATCCAAGTCTATATCTATCTATATCAACATCTACATCTCTATATCTATATCTAATCTATATCTGTATCTATATCTATATCTATTTCCATGTATATCTTTAAAAGAAGAGACTGATGAGGTCTCCAAGCACAAGAACTCAGGTTAGATATTTTACAAGTGCGGCATCCACCAGACAGTCAGGCAGAGAAGTCAGATGGTAACAGAACAAATAAACCTGGAGCTCAGCAGATAGGTCCATGCTAGAGCTATCAACTGGGGAGGTGAGTATTTAGATGGTATTTAAAGATATAGGCAATGAATTAAATCTTAAAGAGGGAAGTAGGCCTAGAATACAATGCTGGGGCTTTTCAATACTTATAGCAGAAGAAATGGAGTCAGAAAGAGGGGGAAAAAAAACTCAAAAATGGTGGTGTCAAGAGAAGATAATCTTTTTTTTTAAGGTTCATTTATTTATTTGAAACAATTACACAGAGAGAGGAGAGGCAGAGAGAGAGAGAGGTCTTCCATCCACTGGTTCACTCCCCAGTTGGCCGCAATGGCTGGAGCTGTGCTGATCCAAAGCCAGGAGCCAGGAGCCTCCTCCGGATCTCCCATGTGGGTGCAGGGGCCCAAGGACTTGGGCCATCTTCCACTGCTTTCGCAGGCTATAGCAAAGAGCTGGATCAGAAGAGGAGCACCTGGGACAAGAACTGATGCCCATGTGGGATGCTGGTGCTTCAGGCCAGGGCGTTAACCTGCTAAGCCACAGCACCGGCCCTAAGAAAAGATGATCTTTCAAGAAGAAGTACTCACTCCTGACAACTAAAAGGTTGGCATGGTCATGTTAGAATCCTCTCCACTGTGGAGGACTTCTTACACAAGGTTAAAAACCTCTTGCATTGTCAACTATTCTTACCATAGCTCCTGGCATACACTGGATACTTGACATGTGTTAATCAAATGACAAATTCATTGGATGGTCAAATATTTGGGTCCAACTGAGGGTGAAGGATAAGTATAAGTCATATCATAAAGCCTTCCTCTTCTCTCTCCATCGACTTCCATGCCTGATTCTTCTTCACTTTTTTAAAGATTTATTTTATTTATTGGAAAGGCAGAGTTACCAAGAGAGAGGGAGAGACAGAAAGAGAGAGAGATAAATCCTCCGTCTGCTTGTTCACTTCCCACGTGGACTCAAGGGCTAGGGCTGGGCCAGACAGAAGCCAGGAGCCACAGCTTCATCCCAGTCTCCCACATGGGTACAGCGGCCCCAAGCACTTTAGGATAATTTCCACTGTTTCCCCAGGTGCATTAGCAGGAAGCTGGATGGGAATTGGATCATCTAGAACTTGAACCCATATGTGATGGCAGCATTGCACACAGTGGCTTTAAAGGCTATACAACAGTGCCAAGCCACATCCTGCTTGATCCTTAGGCTTGCCACAAAAACATTGATTACAATAATAGCAATACCTTCAAGCCTTAGCAAAACAGCATTAAACACCTTCAGTTGTACGTAAAAGTGTGCTATTAGAAGATGGCAACTCAGGACTAACATAGTGTCTGTGTTAATATAGGGTGGCTATTTCTGGAATGATAGTGAACCAGAGAAATAAGGACCTTCCCATTAGCCACTCTGCTGCCCACTACTCACATTAACTATGCTATGAGAAAGAACTGTGTTGAGCAAATTTCACAGGATAAGGATTTTGATGAAGGGAAAGAAAGAGCAAGGCATGGGTTCAGATCAGTGACTTGGCTTTGCCAGTGCCTGTAGGGTATGGCAGTGGCCTCAATGTACCTGCTTCCCAGGCCTCTGCTAAGATGTTGTGCCTGTAAACTGGAGGAACTTATTTCAGAATAAAGACAGTGTGAGCTAGTTGTACAACTGGGTTACAATCAGTACAGAGATCTACCCAGAAAGAAACACACTGTGCAACTGCAAAAGGAAGAGGAGCAGGCCCATTCACCATGGGCCCTGATGGTTACCTTTCCAGAAGCCCTGTCATTTCATGTTCATATTGTATGTCTCCACACAATTATTGGCCTTAAACTTTGTTTCCAGGAGTAATAGAAGGTAGATATTCCTCTTGTTTCGTGTGTTGACAGGAAAGTAAAAATAATTGGGTTGTGTTTGACTAGAATGTCCTAACATTTGACAAACACCTCAAACTCCACATGACTAAAAGTTATCTCAATACCCCCATCTGCATACACATACCACACATGCACACACACACACACACACACGCCTACCCTCATTTCCAGAACCTTTTTTTCTCCAATGAATGGCAGCAACATAGACTCAGTTTTCAAATCCCAAACTTGGGTGTTCAACTGACTTCTTCATTTCAGCCCCACATTCATATTTATCAACACTACTACCAAGTTCTATCTCTTGGAAATCTCTTCAACCTACATTTTTTTCTATTCTTCCCGTTAGTTCCTAGTTCAAGCCACTAATTGAGTTTTTTCTGTGTTCACTCTTGCCTTCACACTTCTGAAACCCATGGCTGACCAAGACAAAATCATCAGGAGCTTCCTATCAGCCCCAGTGTAGTGTAAAATTGCTAACTTGGCTTACGAGAGTCACCGGGTATCTCTGCTGGGCCAATCAACCTCATGTCACACCAATGTGTGCCAGTGGTTAAGTGCTGTAGCCAGGCAACCTCTCTCAGTTCCTTCACCTGGCCCTGTTGGAGACCCTCCTGATTAAACTCTCAAACTGCTGAACCTCCCTGCACGCTCCTTGTCCCTCAAATCTCTCCTGAAATGTCCCTAACGTCTCTGGACTTGTCTCTAGTTAGTAAGTTTGTCATCTATCATTTGACTGAAAACTTTCCTGAGGACTTGTTTTCAGTCCTGCCCTGTTCCTGGTGGCATCCTTTGGGCCTAGCAAGGTGCCTACTCAGTGAATGTGCTGGATCGGTGAACAAATATCTTCATTATGTGTCTGCAACTTAACATGTGCCATTTCAGTGGAGTTGTATGCACATAGACTACATGATGAAGCCTTGTTCTTCTTTCTTTTATATTTTCAAGTAGCAGTAATAAATGTACCAACATCTACAAATAACTATTTATGACTGTCACTGACTGCGCAAGAAAGAGACCAGGATGAGCGTTTGGCACAGTGGCTAAGATGGCATCTCATACAGGAGTGTGTGACTTTGGTGGCTGGGGTCCCCATTCCAGGGTCCTGCTACTGTGCACCCTGAGAGCAGTAGTGATAGCCCAAATGCTCCAGTTTCTGCTACCCACGCGCGAGACCAGGATTGAGTAGTTGCAAGCATTTGGGGAGTGAGCCAAGGATGGGAGATCTGATTCACTTTCTCTCTGTCTTTCATAAAGATAACTAACTAAATAAAAATTTAAAACAAAGAAACTGAATTGCTTTAGGATGAGAACATGGCCCAGTCCAAATCTTGCATTGTGGTTCTCCAGCACATTTTTCCAGGACCATGTTGACCTTGACCTCACACCTCTGAGGATAGGCGAGGCCGGGGTCTCACCAACAAGCCGGAAGAGAAAACCGCTCCAGCGGGGCGGGTCCCGGTGCTTTCCTAGCCCAGACTCGCTGCAGGGGTCATCGGCAGCCTGCGTGGCTGCCATCCCGCCGGGGGCGCCTGCTTCTTGCTCGCTCACGCGTGCAGCCGGGACTTAAGAGGAAGTGCGGGGAGGAAGGAAGTGGGCATAGAAGGGTGCAGGGCTGCGAGTCATGAAGCGAATAGTCGCAGCGTCTTTGTCACCAGAACGTTCCCCGGGCGCCGTCAGAGGGAGTTCTTTTTTCGCTCTTTGTTTTTAAATTTGTGATCCTCTGGTCAATGTTTCTGGTGGTTGCTTAAGCCCCCAAATTCAGATACTGCGTTTAACCAATCCGCCAAAAGACTACACGGTTTCCCGCCGCAGCGCCGGTCCCCGGGGCTAGGGCGGACCGCAGAGACCCGGCGTTTGCCAGTGGGGCGTGCGCGGGCAGTAGCCACGACGCCCCGAGTGCATCCAGGCCCTAGCCACGGTTGAAAGGGGAAACCCCTTGCTCCCTCCAGGTCCACTCTTGCTAAGCCCCGGATTCCCGAACCCTTCCGCCCTCGTTGGGCTGGGAGGCCCAGGCAGGGACGCGCGTCCTGCGTAGCCGAGGTCCCCCAGCGCCCCCTACAGCCGCTCGTGGGGGGAGCCGGAGCCCGGCCCGCGCCTCTGCACCACGCCCAAGACCCCACCTAGCCGCCCGCGCCCCGGGGCCGAGTGAGCGCCGGCACCTCCAGGCCGCAGGATCGGGGCGTGGGGCCCGGCGCGGGCGCGGCAACCCGGGCCGAAGGCTATCGCCCCGCCCGCGGCTGGCGACTTCCCCTCCCTCCCTGGGGCTGTCCCTCCTTCTTTCCCTCCCGCCAGCCGGCGCCGGACACGCTGCGCCTCCTCTCTTGGGGCGCTCTAACCCCTGGCCAACCGTCGCGTCCCGAGCAACTTTGGGTGAGCGGCCGTTTGGTGTTGAATGTTCCCCACCGAGAGCGCATGGCTGGGGAAGCGAGGCGTGGATCTGGCTCCCGAGGGGCCGCCGTCCGGGAGGCGGTGATGCTGTTGCTGTGCCTGGGGATCCCGACCGGGCGCCCCTACAACCTCGACACCGAGAGCGCGCTGCTCTACCAGGGCCCCCCGGGCACGCTGTTCGGCTACTCTGTCGCGCTGCACAGCCACGGGTCGAATCGATGGTGAGTGGCGCTGCCACGGGCATCTCAGGGCGACGTGAGATCCCGGTCGGGTTGGAACTTTCCTCCCCTCCGGGGGCGTAGGCGGTGGGGAAATGCGATACAGCCAGTTTGCTAGAGATCTGCCCGGGAAGCATACTGATTCTGGGGGACAGCGCCGGGGAGTAGGGGTGGCCGGCGCAGTGCGCGGGTGGTGCGCAGAGGAGGGGGTGGGGGAGGCTGCCCCATGCCTGCTGAGACCTGGAGCTCAGCGGGCAGCACCGCTCACGTCTGAGCGCACGTTTCTCTCTCTAGGCTCATAGTGGGGGCGCCCACTGCCAACTGGCTCGCCAACGCTTCAGTGGTCAGTCCTGGGGCGATTTACAGATGCAGGATCGGACAGAATCCGGGCCAGACGTGCGAACAGCTCCAGCTGGGTGAGTTGGATCTGGGAACAGAAGTCACCGTCCTGCACCCCCCAGCCTTGAGGACTGTACTGTAGGGCAAGTCCTGGAAAAAGCCCTGTTGCCTATTCCTTCTGCGTTAAGGTGCATGATTCGCAGAGTTAATGCCACACTGTCTTCTTGTCTATTATAAAAGCGGCCCCCTTCTTTCTACCTGTATCTTTCTCTTTCGCTGGTGACATTGATTGCAGTACTGTGGCACGGTTACACAGAGGACCTTTCCTTGTGATGCCTACTTTTTACCCCCCGCCCCCACCTTGTGCAAAAACACATTTCAAAGTCTCAGCATATTAAGAACAGGATTCAGCCAGGTCAAGACTTAAACGTTTTATTTCCAGCTTTGACCTATCAACTTTATTAAAGAACAGGCTAACGGACAGATCAGGAGTAGCAGTTGCCTGTCGTTTAACCTAAGGACTTAAAAAAAAAGAGAGAGAACAGAAAAGAAAGTAATGTAGTTTTTCTTAGAATATACAATGCAAAATAAGTGTACAAGGAAAAACATGGGCATCTCCATCGTTGATAGTTAACACGAGGCTTAAACTATACTTACTAGTTTTCCTTGCCAAAAACTCTGCTTTAAATGGATCTTTCTGCGGTCATCTCTTAATGCCTGTTTGTAGGTTTGTGACAACACGAAACATATGTACTGTTGGGGGAAGGGAGAAGTTTCATGTTCAAAGACAAAAGCAAATTTGCTGCTTACAGGCACTCTGGGGGAGAAAGGGGAACTAATACTAATGTTGACCTATCTTGTTTCAAACACTGTCAGGCACTGCTATATACATTGCTTAATTTTTTTTTTTCTCAAAAAGCACCCCTGGGTGATGGTTGACATTGTTCCTACTTTTCTTTTTGAGGACTCTGACTCAGACAGTTGCAAATATGTTTTCTGGAGTTACTTAGATACTGACTGGTAGCTGGGACCCCGTTATTACTGGTCAGTCAGGTATGCTTGGGTCCAGAGTCTAACCCCTGTTGTGTATGCATGTTCAATGCAAATAAAGTTAAATAGAGGGTCTAGTATGTGGTCTCCTGAGCTAATACATCATCTGTACATGGTAAACCAAAAGGTCACAATTGGCACTTTTCGTTCATCTTTCTTTGCGATAAATGACTAGGGATTAGCTAGTGATTGCATCTGTGTAACCCCATTTTCATCTTCGTGTAGTTTTTGTTTCTTCTCAAACAGTGAAGCTGGTTTATTTCATTCAAATGAATTCATGTAGAGTACATATAATGGGATGTTTAATTTCTTGTCTATTTGAGGGAGGGGAGAAAGAGAGAGAGAGAGAGAGAGAGAGAGACCCCCTATCCATTGGTTTCCTCCTCAGATGCCCACAACAAAATCCAGGGGCCAGGAACTCAATCCACATCTCCCACATGGTTGTCTGGAACCCAGCCACTTGAGCCATCACCTGATCAGCGAACCCAAGTGCTCTGATATGGGATGTGGGCATCTTAACTGGTGTACTAATCACTAATGCAAATGCCCATAGCAGAATTTTTATTTTGCACTCAGCACCCACCAAAATCCAGGAGTTGTCTGCAGCACATAGAACAAGCCCCGCCTTCTTGTTCAGCATCTCCCATCCCAAAAGGTAGACTGAGGATTCATAAAACATTGTTAGGTCAACCTTGATCTGCTAGAGAGTGGTGACAAGGTCTCAGGAGGGAACAATTTCATTTCTGATGTCCTGCCAGTTTCCTGATCCATGATAGTATAACCTACTTCCTGTCTGGAAGGACGTTGATCCTATTTCTGGATGTCTATGTTGAACTAGAACGATATGGTTGTAGTATTATATAAAATTCAAGATAATAATGCCTATAATAAATGAAAGGAAGACCTAAATTCTTTGAGCATCTGGTACATATATAGGTTGAATACAGAAATATCACCAGAGAAATATGTACACAGTAGATGTGTAATAAGCATGAATTAAATGGAGATTTATTAAGTGAATGAATGAAAATAAGTTCAGTGCAAGTTTGATTTTCATCAATTTTATTGGTTAGAGAGTGATTAGAAATGACAAGCCAAAGTGATATTTGTAATTTTCAAAATTTTGGTAATGATACCGTAGGTAGGTAAAAAAATGTACTGAGGTTAAATTCAAGAAGGAAAACGAATCTGAGTTGATCAACTAGCCAAAAAATTAACAACTTCAGTAATAGCTTTGCAATATTCACAAAGGAGTTGACAGAAGTTATTTTTTATGTAATGTTCTGGACAGCACACACACAACAGAAGGAAACTGTTTATCTTTATTCAGAGAAAATTCAGAATAAATATCTCAGACATAAAATAGGAGATTCAAGTTAAAGTCTATAAAATAAGCACTGAAACAGTAAATTGGTAACCAAAGATATTTTAGGATTTTCAGGTTTGTTGGCTTCTTTTGAGTATTGTTTCTTATGAAGAAGTTTCAAGAGTGTGCGTGTGTGGATACACACACAAACACAAACACACACAATCTTCTATGTGAGATAACTTTAATTGTCCTGTCTCAAATGTGGGTAACTATACTGTTTAGAAAATACTTAACTCAGTAATTGATGCCATGGACACTCAAAAAAGATTCTTATCTCTATTTTCTATTTATATCTGGATGTTATCTGTCCAAGCAGATGAGGCTAATAAATAGGGACAATTAATAAAGCTAAAAATTGAATGTATAAATTAAAAGGTCACCAGGGAAATGACCCAACAAAAAAAAGTTGTAATACCTAAAGATTGAGCTACAATTGCTGTGTCAGCAATGTGGCTTCTTCCAATTGGAAGAACTTTATTTGCTTTCGAGAATCTGGAGATGCACATTTCTTAAAACAGTGCCCATCTCGTACGTGATTCAAAATATCCACAAAGACTAGTCTTGAGCTTTCTGTACATGTCAGATCGACAGTTGATACAGAGGGACTCCTCCCCTCAAAGAGGAGCTTCATAGCTCCCCCACCCTGTCCTACCCCTGTGGATAATGTTGCTGCGTGCCAGGCTAAATTCACTGTAGCCTTAATCAGAAGTGAGCAGCTAGTGCCCATTTATCTAGAGCGCCCAAGGCAGGAGGTGTTGGGAGTGAGATACCCCTTTTAGCCAAGTGAATTTCCTGCAGAGACGGCATCAAGAAAGTTGCCTGGAGAAGCACAAGGTGCTTTTCTTCCCTTGTACAGTCTGCCTCTTGCTCCTCCCTGCACGTCTGAGAGGTGTTGTTTCTTTCACTTCTTTGGTACTTTTGTTTCTTTCACTTCTTTGGTAGTTTCCTATATGAGTCAGAGAAAAGGGAGTCTGTCCCATCTAGAGGGTCTGGGATCTATCTGAAGAGGCTGTGGTGATTTCCACCTGTCCACTCGCTTTTCTACATAGGTGCTGAATTTCTATGGAGGCTTTGTAAAGGAAATTTTGATCACAGGTGATTCTTGAATCAAGACGTCACAAATAATGACTCTATCAACATAGTGAAGTATAGTCCACCCATGGATTACCAATATTCCAAGAATTAGAGCAGAATAAATACATAAATTATTATCAAGCTATACTAAAAAAATTAGTCTATTTCATTATTCAAAAGGCTCTGCAGGGGGAAACTTCAGTGCAGCAGCTATGACTCTGCTTGGGACACTTGCATCAGAAACTGGAGTAGCTGGGTTCAAGTGCCTGGTTCTGCTCCCGATTCTAGCTGTCTGCTAATGTGCACTCTTCGAGGCAGCAGGTGATGGTTCAAGGACTTGGGATCCTGCCATCCCTCTGGGACATTTGGATTGAGTTCTGTGCTCCTGGATTCAGCCTGGCCAACCTTCAGCTGTTGTAGGAATTTTGGAAGTGAAACAGCAGGTGAAGGATGACTGTCTCTGCCTTTCCCTGTCTTTCAGATAAAAAATAAAAATTCTAAAACGACTAAGTGATTATTTGAAAAGCACCGTAGATCTTTTACAGCACTGTAATAGCATTACACACATGCTTACGTATGTATCCACCCATCCCACACAAACTCAGAGTATGCTGGATAGTACAGTCTAAAGCTGTACATTTACACTGTCCAATGTGGTACACACCCCTTGTTACTATTTAACCCATCAAATGTTTGCAGTGAGAAGTACTGTAATGTAAGATACATACTAGGTTTCAAAGACTTAGTACCAAAAAAGGAAAATACATCATTAATTTTAAAGATATTGCTTATCTGTTGAAATGCATATTTAAAGGTAATATTGATTACACAATAAACTAATACTTAAGGTTTGTTAGGTTAAACAAAATATTAAAATTTGTTTCACTTATTTCTTTTTGCATTTCTTTTTTTAAAATCCATTGCTACTTTTTCTTAAAAAGATTTTTATTTATTTATTTGAGAGGTAGAGTTACAGACAGTGAGAGGGAGAGACAGAGAGAAAGGTCTTCCTTCCGCTGGTTCACTCCCCAAATGGCTGCAATGGCTGAAGCTGTACCGATCTGGAGCCAGGAGGCAGGAGCCAGGTGCTACTTTCTGGTCTCCATGTGGGTGCAGGCGCCCAAGGATTTGGGCCATCTTCTACTGCTTTCTCAGGCCACAGCAGCAGAGAGCTGGATTGGAAGAGGAGCAGCTAGGACTAGAACCGGCGCCCATATGGGAGGCCGGCACCGCAGATGGAGGATTAACCTACTGCACCAAGGCACTGGCCACATCTTTTTACTTTTCTAATATGTTTACCAAGAAGTTAAACATGTTACAGGCTCTTGCATTGTATGTCTGGCAACATAGTGTCTCAGAAAGATACTTGCTGTTTGTGACAGAAATATACTTTCTGTTTGTAAAAGAACACTTGGTACTTAACAGGTGCTTTCCCTGTATCTATGCCTGATTGAATAGGACTTCCACTTTACTTTCCTAGACCAAGTTCCAGTTACCAGACCTTTAAACTCTCTGCTTGTGTCTTTCTTTTTCTTACTGGAAAGAGCAGTGGTCCATCACAAGTTATTCTCCATCAGGCCTCTT